AAAATGGGATTGCATCATCCCAGCACACCGCAACCGTCATAAATGTGAGTCAGTTGTCAAGTACCTGAATGCAAATCACGTGACCATGGGGATGCTGCAACGATCATACGTGTGGGAAATGATCGTGTCACTTTTTTCAGTGCTGTTGTAACTTCAAACGGTCACTAAGTGAACTGTTGTAAGTTGAGGACTACCTGTACTCCAGATCCAAATTTCTTTCCCCCCTTTTTAAGCCAGTCCTCTCCAGTTTAATGCTGTTTCTCAAGCTCAGCCACTTTAAGCTGTTTGGACTTCAACTCCCAAAACTGAGTTCCCATGCTGGCTGGGGAATTCTGGGAGTTGAAGTCCACACAGCTTAAAGTGGCCGAGCTTGAGAAATTCCAGTTTAATGCACCACCCAACCTTAAGTTGAACAGTCCTGCCAGTGGCCTCCTTTCAGACCGTATTGCTAACCAGTTGTTCTCTAGGGCTGGTGGCAATATTTTTCAGGCTAATGATTGCTCAACATCTGGTTACATAATAACATGGCGGATATTCCTCCCCAAATCCATGACCTCAGAAAGGAACTGGCTGTCCTTACCCAATTCCCTCATGCCTCTGGTTACACTGCCCCTTGACCTCATTTCTCACCAAAAGGGAATGAAACAATACACTGAGACACATTATGACCCAAGTAGGTTGGCTTAAGCAAGGAAAGCTAGTTTTTGATTAAAAAAAAGAAAAAAAAAGAAGGGTCAGCATCAGACTGTTTAAATTCTAGACTGGGGCAAGGTAAGGCCAGTTAAGGGAGAAGCTGTTGGTTGGCTGATGCTGCCATAAGTACCTGTCAAGTACCTGCCATAAATTACCATTTGTAAATGGTTAATCGCAGTCAGAGGACTCTAAGGACAGATGCAAAGGGAATATAAGGCAGTATTCCCACCCTTTAAAACTCCCGTGAATCAGGAAAGCCAGAAGCATGGAATGAAAAAACAGTAGGGAAGCACCCAACGTACCTGTGAAGAAATGGAACCATGATTTATAATATGAGTAGAATAGTGGAGAATATGAATATCTATAATATTCCCTCAACCAATTTAATTAGAGCTTTCAAGCTGCAGGTTTTTTTTTTTTTAATTATTAGAAGAAAATCACTTTGAAACAACATGGGCAGCAAATAAAAATAAATAAATACAAAATCCAATTTTATATCATTTCTATTTAGGTGCATTGCAGGATGTAGGGTAGGCTGGATTTCATTTCATTTTTAGAGAAGCACTGGGAAAATTCAGTCCCTGGCATCCGGGAAGGATGTTGAGCAGAAGGTGGACTACAGATCACTTCGATTGAGAAATGAATAGGATGGACAGCATTTGGCACAATAATTAAATGGGTGTGAGTTACTCAGAGATCATTTTCACTGTTCATATACATGTAGCCCTCAACTTATGATCGCAACTGGGACTAGAATTTCCATTGCTAAGCAAGATGGTTGGTAAGTTGTGGGACCTTTTTGCGAGAATGGCCGAAAAGATCATTGGCAGCTCCCTCCCTCCCATCCAGGACATAGCACAGAAGTGCTGCTTGAACAGGGTCCGTAAGATTATCTGGGACACTACACATCCTCTTCACAATCTGTTTTCCTTGTTACCTTCTGGGAGGAGGCTTCATGGTATCCGAAGCAGAACATCCAGATTCAGCCATAGTTTCATTCCATAGAGCATTAACCTTGTGAACTCTCAAGCTTCCTCCTTCCGTTATATATTCAAGATGGACACCATTTAATATTTATTTGCTATGTATATGTAGGGGTGTGGGTCTATACATATGTTGTATATAGTATGTTTTAGGTGTGTGTCATGTATGTGTTTCACTTTGAGAGCGGGCAACTAAATTTCATTTTTGATGTGTGATGTGTGCCCACAGTAAAAAAATGACAATAAAGATTATCTTATCTTATCTTATATCTTATCTTATATCTTATCTTATCTTATCATATATCTTATCTTATCTTATCTTATCTTATCTTATCTTATCTAATCATCTTATCTTATCTTAGTTGTTATGCAAATCACTGCAGTTGTTATGTGAATCATCCACCCATTAAACAACTTAACCCATTGACTTTGTTTTTGGAAGCCACCTGGGGAGATCACAAATGGCAATCACATGACCCCAGGACACCGCAACCATCATAAATACATGCTGGTTGCCAAGCACCAAATTTTTATCACATGACTCTGGGCATATTGCAACTGACATAAGTGTGAGGACCAGTTATATGTCATTGTTCTCAGTTCTGCTGTAACTTAGAACAGTCACTAAATGAATGGTTGTAAGTCAAGGACTGCCTGTATAAAGATAGCTCAAATTTCCTTTTCTTTGTGTTACTTTTTGTGATACCAGATTAAAAGCAACTGTCCTAGTCTTACCTAGAAACATGAATGTGGATTTTTTCCCTTCACTTTGAGGATGAGTTCTGTCCAGTTCCACCTTCATTTTTCCACCGACACATGTGCAGCTTTTGTCAGTCCTCCCACATTTCAGGTGAATTGTCTGATTTTAAGCTTGACAGAAAAAGTAAAGGGGTAAAAGCCAATAGAGTTGAAAATCTGGTTTCTATTGGACAGGGCAGGAGGGGGGAGAATCCAAAGGTTTTTCTCCTGAACTTATTCTGAGCTGAAAATTGAACAGATGTTCCAAATATGTCAAGTGTCTTTACTCCTATCTCATCACTAAAATGACATATATTTGCATACCTCTGTAAGGATGGTGAACTTGGACCCCTAACATGTCAAGTTTCGTTGGTTGATACACCATCAAGGTTGCAGAATGAATCCAAGGGTCTTAATTACAATATATAAAAATCAATAATATGTTCTAAAAGAGGGTTGCCCTTGAAAGTGTAAAGCTTCATCTCATTCTGAATACAACTCTTAGTATATTAAGGTCTAAAGACAGAAAAATCCTAATTATCCTGATTCCAAAGGAGCTCTGGTTACTTATAGTTCAGGATGCTATTATCTATTTTGCATCTTTAAATAGTGAAGGATCAAATATCAACAAGTCTAACTCTTCCTATTCCAGTCTTCCTATAATTATGACATCATAGGGAATATTTTACCATTTCCAAATATTTTAGTAGAATGAAATGCCATGATAACTAGGAAGAGAGTCTTTTCAGTGGTGAATTCTGAATTCCCTTTCCCATAGAGTACCATAAATTGACTAACAATTTATCTGCTTTTGGCCCAGAGATTATATTGGGT